TGAACCTGATGTAAACCTGACATGAACCGCTTAACAACAACTGTATCAATTAGCTGTGAAACCTGAACTTTAATCAGCTCTAAAACTGGGGAGTGCAAAATCTGGTGAAGTTGTGTATGATAATCATCTTCTAATTTCAACTTGTTCAATTGAGCTTTGACAAAAAAAACTGGAAGCTGATTTAGTAAATTAACCCCATTGTCTAGCTAATTTGTGTTCTTGTCAACCCAACTAAATCTCATCTAAATTTTTCACTGAGAATTTGCGCAAACCATTTTTTCTTCTGCATTGCAAGGTAGCATCGAAAAGGGAATAAAGCTGTCTTAAAATAGAATTGATATGTTTACTTTGAGGTTTACCATCTCTCTACATTTAAAGTCACACCAATATGATATTTTAATCAGCAGATTTTGTAAAATATATTTTGTGGTATACATATGGGTGTACCCAAAATAAAACCAAGCAAAACCATGAAAAAATGATAAATATATCCAACTTTGCTACCAAATTAAACCCTATCATTACACCCTGCATTAGGATAGACAAACACTGAAAAGTATAATTGAGATACTGACACAAATGAAAAAATGCTTTTGGACTCGAGGGGGTATAGAGACAAAATGGCCTGAAAATCTGGTGGTTAAGGAACTGGAACTATGTCTGTTTTGCCAAAAAATCTAAATACACCTGCCAGTGGGTTTTTATTTCTGTTCATTCAGTACTGAGATTTACACAACTCTGCCACACAGCACATTCCTATCTGACAAAACCTGATTTTTATCTGCTGCAGTGAAGTAACACTTCCTGGATTTGTCCCTCCCCCAGTCTTTGTGACTGAGCAGTTAAAAGAGAAGCAGCACACTGATGAGCTCATGTCTCTGTTTCACCTTGTTCTCTCCTCCGATCAGTATGTCCTTTGTTAGCACTGCAGCACAACTCACTGGCTGTTTGTTGTCTTTCTCCCATTATGAGATGTGCTGTAAATTGGATTGCAGGAGGCTGATACTAGTTCAGATGTTGGCACTAACACTGCCTGCATTAGAAAAATACACCTAGTGATGTAATAATGACTACAGAGCTGTATTAATGTGTGTCATTTATATTTGCCTGAAGTTCAGCATTAGGTTGTCTGCTGGGTCAACCTTGGTGTATTACATAATGTTTCAGATTTTAGATTGTTTTTGTTTTTAATTGCAGCCACATTTTAGGCTTCTAAAATGTATTTATGTTTTTGTTTAAATATATAAATAAACCACATTACTAATATTATGCTCCCAGCTGCAGTTTATAGTCCAAAGATTTGAGAGGGGACTATATGACATAATAAACCTACTTAGTACAAGAGTTGGAGTTGGTCACACATCTTGTACAGTATGTCTCTTTGTAATGTCTAAATATTGATGTGAAAAAGCCAAATCCTTTGTTCATCAGGGAGCGCCATGATTTTTTTAAAGTAATATAAATAAAGTTATTAGTCACGTAACACATCACTGTATGTGCATGATTTTGTGTCTCTAAATTTTGTGTATGTGCATAACAATCTGATTCTATTGTTGTTAATAATTTTTTTTCCATCTTCAACTGGCTTTGGCTCTTTACAGCTTTGAACAGTAATTCAGTCCCATACGCCTCTCTGATTGGCTCTGTGTCTTCCCTCTCTAGTCAAACTACCACTCTGTCCTTATATTATAATAACTCTCTCCCACGATTCGCTCAAAAAGGTCTAAACATCTTTGTCTTTTTTAATAATTTTTTTTTGCAACTACTGATATCCTTCACATCAATCAACCATTAGTTTTGAAAAGTCTTCTATTGTCCTATGCTGATTATGCACTACCCATATTTCTCTATAGGGGTGCTTGATCTGGATCACCATGAAGTATTGTTTGTTTTCAATTAGCTGTAGCACCCAATTGTTATGTTAACTAAATGCATCTCTGGTACCTGGCTCATAGCTTCATAAATGTATAATCAGTACAGCCTTTCAGGTTACGGATTTCTGATTTTTCAATAAACACTTCAGTTTTAAACAGTCATTTAGGAAATAAAATACTTCATTAGAGTAATTTTGTATCTATCATGATGGATTTTTTACCATGAAATCCACTTTAAGCCCCCTAAATTGATCAATGTTTTGTATCCATTGCTAACAAATTCTTTAGGGTGTGCTAACTCAAATCCACTAGCCAGCTATTCCTCCATTATGAGCTCTGGTTGGGTCATGGTATGTCATGGATGTGCTTCTTTTAGGCCTCCAGCTGTTGTTGAACCTAATAGTCATAATACTTGGTCAGTTTATGTCTGATCAAAATGTTAAACACCTATACTGATAGAGTTGTGCAATGTTAGTGCAAGTTCTGCTTGTTGCAAGTGAACATGTCTGCAGCTGGCAGGTTGCTGTAGTCCCCCTTTTTCCGTGTTTTACTGTCCTAATGAGACAAAGATGTTTACACCTTAGGTAGATTGTAGACATTTTTCAGGGTTTGGGCTTGAAAGTCTTTAAGAATAACTACAATTTTTTTCCTGTGGCAATAGCTGTAACCCTCACTCTACAATCTGCTAATAGTGAAAACATTTTTGAGGCTTTTAATTATCATTGTTTTCTTCCAAGAACTATTATCTCACAACTGCCGTGCATGCTATAGTATGAGTGTATTGCATGTTGGTGTCCCACACTATAACACCGGTGTAATGTGAAAATCACTTGTCTTTCCATTAACACCTTTAATTTTATATCATTCCTTTGCTTTACAAATGTCTTCAAAACTGAAGTATTTCATTATATCAAAACAACATAGGTTTCCCACTGAATTTCTTCATGACATTATCCAGTTTTTATTTATACACCCATTTGCTTTTCAGGTTCAGGTGTCGCCGGTTACACTGGTAACCTCCATTCTTCAAGTTAGTTTCATTCATTATGCATTAGTCATGTCAATTCTCTTTTTCTTCTCTTTTAGGAGGCTTTCATGTTCTCTTAGCTTCCTATTTTTTCACAACTTAATCTAAGTTTCCATATCATTTGGTGCAGAACAAAGGGTTTGAAACAGTGTAAAATAAATGCCTCTACCTGTGGTCTAACTTTATCACATTCCTTTACTTAGCTAATGTCATGATTCACTGCACAATAATGGCCCTCAGGCTAAGCGAGTTGGCTTTGGGAATACACTTGGTGACCACTGGAGATGAACGAATTTCATAACATAGATTCCACAAGCTGTTTAGATTCCATCAGTCAGTCAGTTTTATTTTTTTAAAGAAGGGTGCCTTACCATTTAAAGATCACAGGACTTCAGGCTTAGAGATTATCATCCCTACACCAAATGGCCTGAAAGTGTATGGTTGCTTTTCTATGCTAATACCAGTGCACCCCTATGTTCTTGAGCATTGAGTAGATACTTTGAAAATAAGAGTGCCTACTCTTCTTAAAGCACCAGTATGGTAGTAATAAGAATTAATTATGTTGTGTGGGAATCGGGAGGTTTATGTGCAGTTTACCTAGGCTGAAACTTCTACCTCTAATCAATATATTAAAAGGTCACTTGCCTCTTGCCCATTCACTAAATACAAAGTGAAGTGAAGAAAAAAAATCTTCTTAAAATTGACCTAATCCAGACCAGTTAAGCTCCCTGGCCATTTTTGTATGTCAGTTAATTTGGCAATATCACACAAGAGTTTTTAGTAGCAAGAGTTGGTTATTAATATTCTATATACAGTATTTACTGTACAAAGCAAAGGGCCCAAGCTATTGACAAAGAAATAAACTACAAATATGAATCAACACAATGAATGGAAATAAAAAAACATATTCATAAGACAGTATAAAAAAAAGTTGCCAATATAAAATAGAAAAAGAGGGCAGGGGAAAGTAACGTTTAGGGAGGAATAGTAAGAGATCGCAATGTTTTAATCGAGAATTGATTAGGAAATGCATTTATTTAAACAAAATGAACCTTTTATTTCCCTTATTAAGGTTGCTTGAGCAACTGTTGTGTAAAAATATGTTACTAATAGCTGCTCCTTAGAGCTGCAGCTAACTATATTGGGGTGGATTTACAAACGGCAAATACACAGTGTACTTTGCAGGTGCAGCTGTAGTAATTTTCATTAGTAAATATAAATGTAGTAAAGCTTCACTTTGTAAAGAATACCCAATCAGGTGCACAGAGAATTAAAAAAACAGCATTTTTACTTGCACATGACTGGATTATGAAAATCAGCAGAGCTTTACCACAAATGAGTACAACTACAATTTAAGACACCAGAATGATTGACAGAGATTCACTAGTTCACAAGAGTTCACATGCTGTCTTTCTGCATTACCTTATACTGTAATAAACATTCCATTACAGTGCTACATTGTTTCTTCCAGCTTCAACCCCAAACAGGGTGAATAAGTAGGAGATGCGTTGTGGGACAGCAAAGACATCTAGTAGCTGGTGAATTGAACATAAATATCCTTCTGGATTCCATCATCAGTCCTGCAATGGGTCAGAAGGATCTGTTGCTGATTACTACTTGGATTTGGGCTTCGTAACAATGACAAAGGGCATATTTGATTTAACATAGCAGGGGTTCACATCACTCATTATAGGCCTGCCAGCCTGTAAGCCTGAAATGCCGGGCTGGTGTCTTTTAGGGGAGGACAGCAAACATCTCTTCTTAATGAAAACTAAAAATCAGCAGATCCAATCAAGTGGATTGACTGGTAGAATTGTTTGCGGATATTTGTAAGTTATGACACAGCCTGATCTGGCCTGGGTCCTGAAATCTGTCAGTTGGTTCGCTCATCTCTAGTGACTTCTCATGCATCAAAGCTCATCCTTCCAGAGCATGTCCAGCTTTAAGTAACCAAACTTATCTGCCTGCTTCTCACACATGCAGCATTTATTACTTACATATTAATAATCATGTTGCTGTTTTTAGCTGTGCCTTGTATGTGTGTACATGATTTGATATTTGCATTTGTCTTCAAAATGTGTCCCCTTTCCTTTTTAGGCATGGCCAGTCATCCTCCTATACCAATACTAGAACTTGCTGACCACATTGAAAGACTGAAAGCTAATGACAACTTAAAGTTTTCTCAAGAGTATGAGGTATTAACTTTACTTCTTAAAATATAAATTAAATAATAAATAAGGTGCAAATTAGTTATTTTATTTACTTATTCATACAGTACAGGGCACAGGATCTTTAGGCACTACAGTGGGTTATATGCAACTACCTTCATGTGATTGAACACTAGCAAAAAAAAAGAAAGGCTTCAGGGACATCTCCCTAAATAACCCCTCCCATTCCCAGCCAGTTTCAGTATTTTGTTCATGTCCTTACGTGATGGACCTTTTTCTCTATACTGAGAAAATCTTACCATCTTCCTATGGAGGCTGTCTTCTCTGATAATTTCTTTATTAAGATGGTTCACCTTTCCAGATCCCTGGCTGCAGCATAGTTGCTGAGGCATCTACTGCAGCTTCTGGATTGGTTGACTCCTTAGCAGAGTATTAGTCAGCCTGTAACATTGCTTAGAGCACTGGATACTGCTTAGGCATTTATCTTGACATGTAATGGATTGCGTTGAGTTAGTCATAGGGTGCTATACTGGTTCAGGACCATTGTCTGCCAGCAACAGAAGACCCCTTAGTGGTATGCTCAACCTGGATGGCAAAGCCCCCTTTTTTCCTGCCTATAAGACATCTGCCCACAAGTGCATAGCAGAAGCCCTTTAAAAACTATCTGCCCATGGTTCCAAGCTCCATGTTGGTATGGGAACATTTGCTGCAACAACAGTATGGTGGTTTGCAATGGGGACAAGTACTGCTGGTAAAACATTTGAATTTTCCACCATCTTTCCTACTTTTTTGTGCGGTTAAATGGGCACTACTGTACTTACACGGACTCTCTAGAACAGCGGTCACTAAATGGTGGAGCGCTGTCTGAGAATGGCCCCAGCTCCCTTCCAGACCACCAGCTTGCAATGACAGATCCAACGCCAAGTAGGGTGGTCGGCGAGACAACGTGACATCACAGTGCTCCCCGCCCCTTGCAGCAGGTGTGTAGATAAGGGGGAAGTCAGGGGGGGTCTGGACCCCCCCCAGAAGAGAGTTGCCAACCATCTCTGCAGCCCTCAGAATTTTCTCTCGCCCACGGGTGGAAATAAGGTGGGGGCAGCAAGCAGTGTCAGGACTAGGGGTGTGTGGGAGGGGTAGCCACTTCTCCTCCTCTCCCTCCCGCAGCTTCCAGCTGCTTTATTGAAAGCCATACAGAAGATTGCTGCTTGTCACCGACCCCGCCGCTGCAAAGAACATACCTGACGGCTCAGTTTCCTTTCTACCCCCTGCCCCCTCTCCCTTCCACCTCCGCTGTGTTCTTCTCAATGCCCAGCCCCTCCCTCCATCCTCCACACCAATAGGAGAAGAAGGGAGAGAGGCTGGATCTGCTCTGCCTCCCCCTGATCGGGAAACTGAAAATAGCAGCCGACAGCTCTGATGCATCTGAATGAGTCACGTGACCACCCTCCCCTCCTTTTCACCCACCCCTCCCGCCCTTCCTTTCTTTCACTCCCCCCCACCCCCCCCCCCCCCCCCCACCCCCCCCCCCCCAGCCACCCACCCCTTCCTTCCTACATATTGTGACTACACTCTGAGTCATAGCACAAACATGAGATTTGGACCTCGGCCAGAAGAACATTTTATTGACCGGACCTCCTTAAATTTTAATTCAATACCCCTGCTCTAGAGCATTCCCTCTGCACCTACATGTCTGTAGGGACACATGCTTCCTGCACCTGCACAGACTCCAGACTGCACAGACTCTTAGATTACCTCCTAAATCTGCATGCTTTGCCATCCATCTTTTATGGGTGCGCCTTAACAGTGATGCCATTTCCCAGTCCTCCAGGTCTAGTATGAAACAGCAATTGCTATTCACTAAAGTGTTCAGCAGCCTACCGTACTTGGCATTATAGCCCTTCCCATTTCTACAGCAGCATAGGAACTCCTCTGGGAACACTTTGGAAAAAGACGGCCTTGCTTGCTTATACTCAGCCCTTAGCTCTGGGGAAGGGGTTAGTTTGGGCACTCTGCTGGCAATTTATTCCTGCCCTATTCCTCTTCTTTTTACAAGAGAGTAATTTTCTGCCACAATGTCTGGATTAATGGGTGCAATGCTAGGCTTTTAAGGGGCCATTGATACTACTGATCACAAACATGTCCTTTCAGTCTTCCTTCCTGAGTCTGTCCTGGACTTTTCCCAAGAGGCAGACACTCTTTCAGAGGATGCAGTAGATTAGGAAGATCCCCTCTTTCCGTAGAGGAATTGGAGTAGACATATCACCTACTTCTTAAATATACAACAGCTACCTGTTAACCAGTCCTCTCCTACATGTGTAAAACATAATTTTTGTGCTAGAAAACTACTTAGAACCCCCAAACATTATATAGTGCTCAGCATAAATAAGTACACCCCGACAGATTTGTCAGAAAACCTTTACTTCCCTTTCAATATCAACATTTTCTATGGAACACTAAAAAGTACTCCCACAAATATGGGCCATTGATTGCAAACAAAATTTGTTAATTTGCGCACACAAAAAGTATTTTTCCTAACAAATTCATTCAAGTCCATGTTGCAAAAATGAATACACCGCAATGGAAGTCTTAGGAGCAAAGCTAAATTTTAGACAACAAAATCCTAATTAACAAGAATTCAACTACAGGTGAATCTAACTATTCATTAAACAGGTCCAGCAGACAGTTGATTATAAAAGGGCGTTACTTAACAAAGAAAACCACTTCCCATTTCAATCTGTCATCAATGGCACCACATGGAAGATAAACGGCCTGATAAAGAAAATAATTTTTTTACACAAGAAAGGTGAAGGCTACAAGAAGGTCAGCAAAGCTTTCAATATCAGTCAGAATAGTATAGCAAAAGTGATATACAAATTTAACAAAGATGAAACTGCATCCATCTCAAAGAGACGTCCAGGCTGTTCACAGAAGTTAACACCTTGACAGGAGTGTCTTCTGATGAGAAGGGTTTGAAGAAAACCCCCATGCAAGTTCACTGCCGTTAGCTAAAGAAGTAGAAATCCAAACTGGGGTGAATGTTTCCCGTGACACAATATGGTGTACACTGCAAAGGAATGGCATGCATGGGTGTCATCCACGAAGGAAGCCTCTCCTAAAGCCCATGCACAAAAAAGCCATCTAGAATTTGCCAGGGCCTATGCTGAAAAAGAAGAAGACTATTGGGACTCTGTACTCCGGAGTGATGTGACCAAGATGAATGTTTTTTTTAACTGATGGTTTCAAAACTATATGGTGTCGCAAAGGTGAGGAGTACAAAGAAAAATGCATGGTGCCTACAGTGAAACATGGTGGTGACAGTGTCCTTCTGTGGAGCTGCATGAGTGCTGCTGTGTCGGGGAGCTGCATTTCATTGATTTTATCATGAATTCACAGATGTACTGCTCTATATTGAAAGAGAAGATGCTACCATCACTCTGTGCCTTTGGTCTTTGTGCACTTTTCCAACATGACAATGATCCAAAACACACATCTAAGGCCACTGTTGCTTTTCTGAAGAAGAACAGGGTGAAAGTGATTTAGCGATGAAGTATGTCTCCTGATCTGAACCCAATCAAACACCTATGGGGAATTCTGAAGAGACAGGTTGAGCATCACTCTCCATCCAGCATCCAGGCTCTAAAAGAGGGCGTTCTGGAAGAATGGAAAAGATAGATGTTGCAATATGTTGCCAACTTGTTCATTCCAAGAAGTCTTGGTGCTGTCCTTACAAATCTTGGAGGTCATAGAAAATACTAGATGTAGTAGTTTTTGTTTTGGAGTGTATTCATTTTTGCATCAACTAATTTGAGTAAAACTAAACATTTTGTAATTTAAGTTATATTATTAACCTTACTTTCATGTAATTAGCTAAACAAATGTTCTATAAAACTCAGTTTTGTCAACATTTTGGAAATGTTCTTGTGTTCATTGAGATATTGATTAAAATCTTACTTTTCAAAATGGGTGTACTCATTTATGCTGAGCACTATATATTTTTAAGCAGGTACCCTAGAGAATAAAATGGTGGATATTCTATATTTTTATGTTACACAGTATTTGCGCAGTGGTTTTTTTTTGCGGAAAAAATACACTTAAATTGAATTTTAATAAAGAAAAACACAATATAACACCCAATTTTTTGATAAAGTATAAAAGATGATGTTATGCCGAGTAAGTAGATACAAAACATTTCACACTTTAAAATTGCGGCCACCTGTTGAATGGTGCCAAACTAGAGTACCTAAAAATCCCCATTGACAACACTTTAAAAGCCTTTACAGGTTGCCAGTTTAGGGTTAAACAGGAGGTCTGAAGCTAAAATTATTGTTCTCACATTGACATTCATGGCGATACCCCAGTGTGGTGTGATTGCCATTTACTTATGCGTGTGGGACCAGCACGTGTGTTCACATTTGTGTGTGAGCACAGGAAGACAGGGGCATTGCAATTTTTTTTAATTTTATTATTTATTTTATTCAAAAACATTTTTCCACTTTCTCTTTATTTTTTTTATTTTTTGAACAACATCCCTTGTGACAGCATGGGCTGTGATAGGTCCTCTTTATGGAGAGATGTGGGGGTCTATTAGACCCCAGATCTCTCCTCTGGCCTCCAATGCAGCCGATCAAAAAAAAACGCAGTCAGTGTTGATGGTGGAATCCCTCATGCGGAGCCATTGTATTGTCCTGGCAGGGATTAAGGGGGCGCAGGGAAGCTGGCAATAATTGAATGAAAAATCTGACCTGCTGGTTGTACCCAAGTTGTCCAACAATCGAATTAGGTATAATCAGCCTGCCCATAGATGTTTTAAATCTTGAGCGGTCTCTGCTTTAACTAGTCAAGATTTCAAACATCTATGGCCGCCTTCAGCTTGCTATCAGAGGCGATGCATGTCAGACTTTCTAATTTCTAACACCTCTGTTCAAAGTTCCCCTGAGTCAGCAGCTTTATCCTGTAATAGCCTATCCTAGTGTTAGAACAAGGACAAGTTTGACTAAAGGCATGAAGCCTCATTCCTCCCTAAGGTG